AGGAAGAACCCTGGAGCAGTCTGGAGTTTGTTTGCTGAATGTGAAAGTAACAGTCAGGTGGAAAACTGGGCGTAAACCAACAAGACGAAAACAAACAAGACACAAGACGAACCACTTTCTCTCAGAGCTGATTCATCATGACCATAGAGACGGATTGTGTGGGTAAACAAAAGATTATTTTTTATTTATTCAGTGACAGGGCCTGTATCGATAACAGATTTTGCTGCACGATTAATAGACCAAGAAATTATTGCGATAAACGATAATATTGACATTTTGAGACCATTTTCAACTAATATAATGACCATGGAATAAAAATGCGAATACACTCTTTCAAAGCTCAATAAACTTTAATTTCTAGAAGAACATTTAACACAGGAACTGCAAGACAAACAAAAACAAGGGGCATAAATAAAATAGATTTGTTAAAATAAGAACAGCCTAAAGTGTCTGAGTCACATTGAGGACTTGTTAACAAAAAATGCACTTGAACAAACCATTATTGAACCAAACACAACCAAAACAATAAATAAAATGGATGATTAAGTCTCTGTAACAAAAGTGATTACAAGTGATTAAAAGTGATTTTAGTCATTGACTTGCATTGAAATTGACTTACATGACATCTCTCTGTTGCCTCGACATTTTGGTCTTGAAGTGTTCAAATTAACCCGCTCTACATGATCCTATTTTGCTATTTTGTCCGTCAGAAAATCGTATTCATAAAATAGAGACTGGCTCCTTACTTAGTCCGCTTTTTATACAGGGATTTCTGCACATGTCTCCTGCAGAAAGAGCCGCTGTCCTGTCTGGGATCTTGTCGGAGTCTGGTGTCGCGTCGGAGTCTGGTGTCGCGTCGGAGTCTGGTGTCGCGTCGGAGTCTGGTGTCGCGTCGGAGTCTGGTGTCGCGTCGGAGTCTGGTGTCGCGTCGGAGTCTGGTGTCGCGTCGGAGTCTGGTGTCGCGTCGGTGTCTGGTGTCGCGTCGGTGTCTGGTGTCGCGTCGGTGTCTGGTGTCATTTCAGTGTCTGGGATCGCATCGATGTCTGGGATCGTGTCGGTGTCTGGGAATGTGTTGGTATCATGTCGGTGTCTGGGATCGTGTCGTGCCGGAGTCTGGGATCGCGTCGGAGTCTGGTGTCGTGTCAGTGTCTGGGATTGCGTCGGAGTCGGGATTGCGTCGGAGTCTGGGATCATGTCAGTGTCTGGGATTGCGTCGGAGTCGGGGATCATGTCGGGGTCTGGTATGGTGTCTGGTATCGCGCCGGTTTCTGGGATCGCGTCGGTGTCTGGAATCATGTCTGTCTGATTTTGTGTTGGTGTCTGGGATCATGTCGGTGTCTGGGATCATGTCGGTGTCTGGTGTGTCTGGTGTTGTGTGATGTGTTCGTGTGTGTCTGGTGTCGTGTCGGTGTCTGTGTCGTGTCGGTGTCTGGGATCGTGACAGTGTCTGGGATCGTGACGGTGTCTGGTATCGTGTCGGAGTCTGGTATCGTGTCTGTGTCTGCTGGGATTTCAGTGGATTTCGGGCTCTCCCGGGGGCTAGTTGTGTGGATCGGGTATGGGTTTATGTTGGCTGCTGGAGTTTGAGCCATTTCTTCTCGTTTACGTTTTGCTCGCTGCATTTGATGCATGTTCACCGTTGAGACGTGTCCCACTCACTTGTGTTGATTTGGCATCGTGACTTGATGAACTGTTTTGGTGCTCTGATGGTGGTCGCTGGTGTTACGGCATCATGTTAACCGCACAGACAGCGACACAAAACTACCACCATAAAATGTAATGATATGACAAATATGTTTATGCGGACTAAATACACGAGCATTGTCAGAACTTTATCGCACACAGACTGGATTCCTGTGAGCTTTACGCCCTGTTAGAATGTGGATATCTCATCAAAAACATCCCCGGAGTTGTTTTGTTTCATTCCCGCATGTGAGTAATCTTTTACGATGATGTCACAAAGCGGTAGGTTTCAAGATAACAACTCCTTCTGCCTTTTTTTTTTTTTTTTTTTTTTTTAAATAGAGATCCAAATTATTCTAGTGCTGAGAAAACATCTTTATAACAGAGATCAGAAAATTGGCAGAACTTCTGGTTAATATTCCGTGTATAAATGTGTGTGTAAATGTCTGGTGTGTTCTTCATAAATCTGCCCCATCACCAAATCTTCAACCAACAAACTCCACAAAGGATAAACATTCTTCATGAACAATTTATCCACAACTATCAAGAGAAGAAAGACCAAAACTTAAAAGAAAACAGCGACCACACATTAGTCACACAAGAAACTAAACTCATGTTATGGTTCTAGAAATGTCAAACATTTGAACTCTACAAATCTATCTACGTATACTGCCTGAAAACCATCCATCCATTTTCTTCCTCTTATCTGTAGCCGGGTCGCGGGGGGCATCAGTCTAAGCAGGGACTTCCTTCACCCTGGACACTTCCTCCAGCTCCTCCGGGTGGACCCCAAGACGTTTCCCAGGCCAGCCCAGAGACATAGTCCCTCCAGTGTGTCCTGGGTCTTCTCCAGGGCCTCCTTCTGGCTGAACATGCCTAGAAAACCTCCCAAGGGAGACGCCAAGGCTCTTCTACGAGCTCCTCCCGCTGGACTAAGCTAATTTCGGCCACTTGTACCTGCGATCTTGTTCTTTCGGTCTTTCGGAGATAATCAGAAGAATTAGAAAGAATCAGGTTGAGGGAACAAGTTCCTTCTGTTTTATTCATGACCATAACGTTCGTTTTGCTCAGTAGTTCACTCATGCTCGTCGTTGTTTATTTATTTATTTCACTTATTTATTTATTTGAGACAGGGACAGCGCACAATTTTTACATTAACCTTGACAGGAGAGATGCATTGTACGTCAGGTTGTAGCATCAGTGCTAATTTCCACCTGTCGTCCCTGATCAGATTCGTTGATTGATTGGATTTAACTGACCTTGACTATCAACTGTTCTTGGAGACCTCTGTAGCATGTTTTGGGTTGACGGGGGAAACCGGAGCACCCGGAGGAAACCCGTCCAGACACGGGGAGAAACATGCAAACTCCACACAGAAAGACCCCGACCTCCTTTACGTTTCCATCTTTCTTCTCTTGATAAGTGTGGATAAATTTTTCATGTTAGAATGTTTATCCTTTGTGGACCTTGTTGGTTGAAGATTTGATGATGGGGCAGATTTACGAAGCTGTTGGAGAATACGACACACATTTACACACACATTTACACACACATTTTGTCACCGAAAACCATTAACCGGAAGTTCTGCAAATCTACAGCGAGACACTTCCGACCGTTGTGAAAAAAGTCTATTGGCAAAGCTGTAATGTCTCCACAGTAACAAATTTGGCGAATGTTTTCTTGTTTTCTTGTTTCTTGTTTTATTTAGAAGACTGGATGTGGGTTTAATTTAGTATTTACTGCACATGTACTTCAGCATTTCCCAAAATTCCCTTGTGCCGTGTATCTTAAAGTGACAGAAGCTTCTACTCTCCTTCACTTTCACACCACAAACTGCACCATCCTGATACTTACAGTCAACCACAGACTCCCACACTTTTCTCACAGACACTTTCCCACTCCGTCTAATGTCACATCTGATTATTTATGATCCTTTTCTCATTCTAAATTCGTTCTTTGTTCCCACCCGTTATCCCCCCTAAGTCATGACGACATCGTACAGGCTCGTCACCACTAAACACGTTTTGAAACATGAAACTATCTACACAGAGATATGATCGTAAACCATAATATTGAAACTGCTTTATTCCTCAAACACAATAAGAGTTAAGCAGGATAATCCCAGTGGACCATTTTGTAAAGATATTTCCACTTGTGTAAAGAAAACCTGCACATAATAACTCCTGAGACCCAAAATATATTGTTCCAGCGCTCGTTAAAGGATGTGTAGAAGATTTTCCTTTCCTCCTCGTTTGTCCTTTTTCAGTTGTTGCGTTTCGCTCCTTTTCCTCTTCTCTTCTTCTTTCAACGACCTCAAAAAACGAACTTTCTTTCTTTCCGCCGTCGCAACAAACTTTGTGCGAACGGAGAGGAAGCTACAGTTCAAAAAAGACACTGAGCAGTGTGTGAGGCAAACGTAAAATTACGTAATCCCAGTGCTAAAAATGTAGGGAGTTTGATTGACAACCTAACAGCCAATAGATAAAGAGGTAGCCTCGTTACCTAAAATTATTATGTTATTATTTTTATTTTTTTATTATTATTATTATTTAATTTTTTTTCATGTATTTTTTATTTTTTTATTGTATTGTATTTTAATTTATTTTATTTTATTATATTATATAAATTTTATTTTATTTTATTATTATATTGTATTATTTTATATTATTGTATTATTATTATTATTATTATTATTATTATTGTTGTTATTGTTTATTATATTTATTATATTTATTTTTTATTTTTTTTATTTCTTTCTTTTAAGAGGAATAAACTTTTACATAATAGAGAAATAAATTCGGCTTTAAAATTAGAATAAACCACTGACTTACTTCACAATTTAGTTTTTTTTTCATTAGGAATTAAGTACTTATATGGTCTTTTTTAAGCGGAATTGATTTAATAGTGATTATTTAATAATTATTTAATAATTGTTTTGTTGTGGTGACGTTAACAGCTTTTTCAAATGTGGAAGTCAGCAAACTCGTTTCTCTTATTAAGTCGTTTCTGATGAATATTTTGATTTAAAATGTGCCAAATATAAAGTATAATGTCCCATGGGTGTCATAGATTATTATACGGATCACACAAGCACAGTGTCTGTTTTATATGTAGAAAATGTCTGAGGGATGATGCAAGAAACAAACATTTTCAAATCAAGTTAAGATGAATTTATTTCAAGTTACTCAAGTAAATGTAACTGAGTACTACCCACCTCTGGGAATAATGTTGACAGGCCTATAGCTCTGTGTGCAGATATGATGAGGAACCTTGAGGAGCACATCTGAACGTGTGTGTGTTTGTGTTTGTGTTTTCAGGCCCTGGAGACGGACCACAACACTCTGCAGAAGATGAAGAAGATCATCCGAGCCATCCACACCTCAGGACTGGGTGAGTGTCTCCTGGGCCGGTGTGGGACAGAAGGTTTTTAGGGTCCTAAACAGAGCGCTGGAGGTGGTTCTAGGGCTGTCACGGTTAGGGAATTTCTCCTGTGGTGCGGTGTAATGGCTCAACAGCACGGTATGCAGTGATAACACAGTCTGCAGTCTGAATTTAGACTTATAGACCTGTGTAATGCCCAAAGCGACCTCGATTGTTCTGGAAAAGCTCCCCAGGTGGAGGTGGCCTCTTCCTAACTGTCCCACGCCAAGGTGGCCCCAAGCAAAAGTTCTGAACATCCAGGGTCTGCTCAGGACGATGTCTGTCCTGCTGATGCTGAGGAGATTTTAGGTCTAGAACTTCTGGTTTGGTTTGTGGTTCCGTTTCTCTTAAACCGACCTTGAGCTTCCCACTTGATTCAAATATCTCTTCTTTGGTTTGGTTTTGACAAAATTCAGTCACTGGTCCTTTATATTCTGGTCACACTGATAAACTGTAAAAATGTCACTCTTCATTCACATCATAAAGTAGTTTCAGACAACACCGTGCAGATTTCTTTCTTTCAGTGGCCTTGTCTGATTAGAATAAGTTAGAATTTCAATTAGAATCTGGATGTTTAAGATGACTTCAGTGACGTGTAAACTGCAAAATGTTGTGAGCAACAAAGAGACTCTGATCAGAAGGAAATGAGATAATTTGGCTTTTGACACGTCCTTTAAATAATCTCATAAATCTGAAATGAATCAGATTTTGAGCGCTCAGTAACCGCAGCCAGTGACTCATGAAACAAAGGAGCAAACAAAATCACATTTCTGTCAGCTCGGGCTTAAACCGTTTAGTGTGTCACACGTTGATTCTGCAGAAATCCACGGAGTTTCCAGTAGCCCGTCAGATTTGATTTTTCCTCGTAAGCAGCCGTGTTTGTTTTGATATGGATGGACTGTGCCTGTCCCTGATTGGTTAACTCGCCTGTCAATCACACCCATCTGAATGGACCAGTGTTCTGCAGAAGCGTGTTTTGTGTTTTTCGGATCCAAGGCAACAAATATGTGACCAACTCTGTGAAATCAAACTTTCATAACAGACATTCCATTTAAGAAATATATTTGATTTAGTTTAGTTTTTTAATTGAATTGAATTGAATTTTTTTCTTCTTTCTTTTTTTTTTCTCCTTGAGTTGTCACAATTTTCACTTTTAGTCCATAATATTATATTGTTACTAGGGCCCGACCGATATGGATTTTGTTGTGTTTGATATGAAACCGATAAAATGGGAGTTGGAGCTGCCGATATAATCACCGATATATTTAGTGATGTAAAAATTCACTGTAAATCTTGATTTGTTTAAAAAACTTAGGTTTGGCTCTGGTGGATTTTAAATTGGGTTTATTTAGGCGACATTTATTGTTATTCTGCCTCTTTACGTCATATTTACAGACAGTAGGTCGGACTAATGGCATTTTTGCTTCACATTCTAGCAGCGAGTAAACAAAGTAAACTACCGCTATTAGCCTTCAGCCGTAAATGCTGCGCGCCATGGTAATTAATTATATATGTAAATGTCGATCATTCACACCTCTATTCAGAGCTCGTTTACATCAATGCTGGTCCAGTCACAAATATACGGCCAATGTAGTCACTTTACAATAGACCAATAGAAAACAGTCAGTTTATGTGTGAGAGCTACAGCAGCTAATCAATAACCAATGGAAAAAGAACCAAAACCAGCTTCAAAACCGACATATTTCCAACACTCACCGCTCACACAGGCTCCTCTCAGATCACAAGTCTGCACTAATAAATGTCCTTTTAATCCAGACTCAATGATTGTCTGTAAACAGAATATAATCTCAGTGTTTAGATCTGTGTCTGCGAGTGTAAACAAACACACATGACTCTGTGGTGTGTTCAGGGACAGTACGGACACACACAGACAAATGACTCCGTAGATAAATACTGATGCGGTGCCATATCGGCAAGATTTAGGCCGATAGCCAATATGTTTACAAGTGTCCATATCGGCTGATAATATCGGCCAACCAATATATCAGTCGGGCTCTAATAGTTACCTGAATAATCAAGAGAATTGATTAACAGACTCATCTTGACAGCGCCGGCCTGTACATTGTAAATAGAGTAAATATAGGCTGCGTTCAGACTGCAGCCTGAAGTGACCCAAATTCGATTTTTTGGCTTCTATGTTCCTGTATCTGATCTTTTAATGTCAGTCTGAACGACACAGATCCGATTTTTTTCAAATGTGACCCAGGACACTTGGATATGTGCTCCTGAAACTGATACATATCTGATCTTTTGACATGTGACTTCAGTCTGAACGACCAAAGTGCATTCATCCACCTACACGTTATCAACAAGACACAAACGTCACTATTCTGCGCTGAAGTCGGCGAAAATTGTTAATGTCACTGAAGCGAAGCACATCACCACTCACCACTCTTGGCTCCGTCTCCACATCCACACGTTCCTTTCAACGTTCTGTCCCACAAAACTCCACGACCAAAAACCTCGTCCTTCTCCTTCTCAATCTCCTCCTTAAAACAAGTAAGTTGTTCATGTTCTGGCTCCGGTACGAGAGGAACTTTAAAATCTCCAGGTGCTCGATGCTGCGTCCATGTTTGGACAACTTCTGTAAACACAGAGACGCTCGCTGCGGTTGACGTCGTCGTGTCTCCAGTGTCACATGTGGGACACTTTCGGGCCGTTTAACGTTCACACAGGGGATCGCACACAAGTCGCATTTAATTGGAAATGTGAACGACCTCGCAAAAACATCGGATTTCACACAAAAAATCGGAATTGAGCGTTAAGCTCTGCAGTCTGAACGTAACCTTAGACTGTTTACACAGAGCTGGGCATGTTGGGAGATGAATATTTTCCTCCCTCTTTTTTCTAGAATAACATCGTACTCACAGCATCATTTAGTTTACATCAACCCGCATAAATACACCATCGAGCGCCGCCATAACTATGCCAAGCGTGATGGTGCAGTGCAGGATGAAGGAGAACGCTCTGCAAGCCAATCACAATCCTTATTTCAACAACAATGAATAAAGAGTCACATCCTATTCCTTTCTGAATGAACTATTCCTATTCCTTTTCCCTTCCTATTGTTTTCTGAAGAAATATAACAATACAATCTCTGACCTCCGACCGTCATTGGTCTCTGGTCGTGGATATGATTCATCAGCTGTGTGCAAATGCAACGAAAAGTGTTTCACCAGAAGAAATGTGACTGTAGCTAAGAGACATTTCCCTTCATTTACGCATCATTTACACTCAAACAAACAAACAAATCTTTCTAAAAACTCGGTCTTGAGTGGAGATTCTGGGAAACTACGGTTTGGCGTTTGCATGTAAAGTGAGATAAACGGTCGCGCTTTTGGTGAGTCAGCTCCTAAAACCCCATTGTTTCCCTTTTGGTCTGATGATGATGATGATGATGAAGCTTCAGAGCAGCAGTCACATTTCTTCTGGTGAAACACTTTTCATGTGTTTAAGGTTGCCCACACAGCTGATGAATCGTATCCATGACCAGAGACAAATGAGCTTGGACGTCAGTGATTTTATTGTTAGATTTGTTTTACTTCTAGTTCAGAAAGGAATAGAAAGTGACTCTTTATTCGTTGTTGTTGAAATGAGGATTTTGATTGGTTTGTTGGTAGTTACGGCTACATTCAGTCTGCAGTCTTTTCAAATGTGACCCAGGACACTTGGATATGTGCTCCTGAAACCGATACATATCTGATCTTTTGACATGTGACTTCAGTCTGAACAGTCAGGTCACATTCATCCCACCTACACGTCAGGCTCAGAGTCTCGTCAGTGGAGGGAAAGCGAGGTTAGAGTGTTTATTAATATTTGGGGGAATCGTTGTATTCAGGACGTCTTGCTATAGACGTTCTTGGCTCCAATGTCAACGAAAAATAAAAAGCCTGCGAGCCAATTACAAGGAGGATAAAAACTCAAAGAAACGATACGGCCGTGGACGTGTGACCTGAACATTTTACCAACAACTGGACCAAATTTTGGGAGAGGAGCCTCAGCATTTAGGCGACTTTGGTAAATGTCGCTGTGTCCTCAAAGTGTGGGACACTTTTGGGGCGCTTAAAGTAGAGCCCGACCGATATGGATTTTGTTGTGGCCGATATGATACCGATAAATAGGAGTTGTAGGTGCCGATAGCCGACATAATTGCTGATATATCTAGTGATGTAAAAATTCACTGTAAATTGTAAATTGTTTAAAAAACTTAGGTTTGGCTCTAGTGGATTTTAAATTGGGTTTATTTAGGCAACATTTATTGTTATTCTGAATCTTTACATCAAATTTACAGACAGTATGTCGGACTAATGGCATTTTTGCATCACATTCTAGCAGCGAGTAAACAAAGTAAACTACCGCTATTAGCCTTTAGCGGTAAATGCGTGTGCCCTGCGGTTATTATATGCGTAAATGTCGGTCATTCACACCTCTATCCACAACTCATTTACATATCAATGCAGGTCCAGTAACAAATATACGGCCAATATAATCACTACAATAGACCAATAGAAAACAGTCTGTTTATGTGCAGGAGCTACAGCAGCTAATCACTAAACAATAAGAAAGAACCAAAACCAGCTTCAAAGTCGACACATTTCCAACACTCAGCCTCACACAGGCTCCTCTCAGATCACAAGTCTGCACTAATAAATGTCCTTTTAATCCTGATTTGAACCGATTGTCCATAAAAAGAAAATAATCTCAGTGTTTGGATCTGTGTACGGTACGGACACACACAGACAAATGACTCCGCAGATAAATACTGATGCGAAGCCACATATTTGGACATTTATCTGTCTGTAAATTGGATTAAATGAACAGAATGTAGAGAGTCTAAGTTTTGTAACGACGTATAACCTGCCCACATGAAATATCAGCAAGATCGCTGACATGTTTCCAAGAGCCCATATCGGCTGATAATATCGGTCAACCGATATATTGGTCAGGCC